AGCTGCACTCTTGTCCCAGGGGATGATTTGCCTGGAAGCAGCTTTGCAATAAAACGACAGTGCAGTTGTGCCCATAGGAATGTCGTGGGTAGATGCAATGGGCTTGCCAAGCTCATGGCAGAATTTAATCGTTTTCCATCTAAACAAAAACATTATTTTTTCCATCTTTTTAGGAAAGAGAATCCAAAAGTAATAAAGCCATTCTTTAAAAACTTGCTCCTGGGCTAAGTGCCTCTTCCTTAATAGCTTCCGGCCTAGAGTTGGCTTAGTGGTATTACTGCAGACTTATACCAGTGTGAATGAAATTAGAATTGGGGGCCTCTTCCAAGTCCTGACTCAAGGTGTCAGAGTCATTGGGCCCAATTCTGAATGCTCTTACATTGATGTAAATCATGAGGAACTCCATCAAAGTCAATAGAGTTACATCAATCTAAAACCGGTTTGAGATCAGAATCAGGCAGACAGACCTTTTCCAGCTCTAGATTCTATTTTATCATCCTGTGCAAGACCCTACAAATAGTGGTTGTGCCAAAAACATTATGTTCCTGAGTGCTTTGCCCATATCCGAGGAGAGGAAATGAACAAGAGGTCAGCATTTCTTTCTGGATAATATTTCACAACCTTTACAAAAAGAAGTGCTTTGCTTACTTTTCGGTTATCCAAATTCCATTTGTATGCATTCTGGAAATATCCAGCTTTCAAATATCCAAATGCTATATCTTTAATAGACATGTCAACACAAGTTATTCAGATGGATGAATGATTTTTTTTAAAAAAAGAGTGGATTATCCAAATCCAAAATGGACAAATTATGTCTGAAACTGAATTTGTTATCTAAAACTTCACTCGGCTCTTCATTCTCGTTTTAAGTAGCTTCTTCTGCTTTCCTTGTGATATCTTCATACCGTGTGAGAGCTCACTCTTTCCTGATGTTCAGCTTTAGAAGATATTTACCTTTACTCAATTTCACCCCATTCTTACTAGTTATTTATCTTTGGACCATCCTGTACAATTCTTCTCCCACTTTGGGCTGATATCCTGTCTCGTATGAAGCCAGTGGCCAAACTCCCATTGACTTTAATGGGGACAGGATTTCATGCTTGGTGTTACACACTTTTTTCATTCTACCTATAGATTGCTATTCTATGTCCTCGGGGGGATAACACTCTCTGGAGGCTCCTCCTGTAGAGGTTAACATGACCACTAAGGGTATATCTACATTGCAGCTGGCAGCGAGCCTGCCAGCCCAGGTAGATAGACTCATGCTACCATGGCTTGAGAGAGCAGCTCTAGCAGAAACTTGGACTAGCCACCTAAGCTCAAACCCAGGAGGTATGGTGGGCTCGACAGCCCAATCTGCCGCCCGAGCTGCAATGTCCACACGGTTATTTTTAGCTTGAGCTTGAGCCCTCTAGAGCAAATTTCAACCCGAATAGGGAGGCTTGCTCCCATCTGCAGTGTAGACATACCCTAAGTGGGAGAGTGGGTTCACTGAAAAAGGGTCTTTGGAGTGGTATTTGTG